GCTAGGGGCGGACGCGACGGCCAGGGGGCCGGCTAGGGGCGGACGCGACGGCCAGGGGGCCCGCTAAGGGCGGGCGCGACGGCCAGGGGCCCGGCTAGGGGCGGACGCGACGGCCAAGGGGCCGACTAGGGGCAGACGCGACGGCCAAGGGGCCGACTAGGGGCGGACGCGACGGCCAGGGGGCCGGCTAGGGGCGGGCGCGACGGCCAGGGGGCCGGCCAGGGGGCCGGCTAGGGGCGGACGCGACGGCCAGGGGGCCAGCTAGGGGCAGACGCGACGGCCTTGAGGCCGGCTAGGGGCGGACGCGACGGCCAGGGGGCCAGCTAGGGGCGGGCGCGACGGCCAAGGAACCTGCTAGGGGTGGACGCGACGGCCAGGGGGCCAGCTAGGGGCGGGCGCGACGGCCAGGGGGCCGGCTAGGGGCGGACGCGACGGCCAGTGGGGCGGCTAGGGGCGGACGCGACGGCCAGGGGGCCAGCTAGGGGCGGGCGCAACGGCCAGGGGGCCGGCTAGGGGCGGACGCGACGGCCAGGGGGCCGGCTAGGGGCGGGCGCGACGGCCAGGGGGCCGGCTAGGGGCGGACGCGACGGCCAGGGGGCCGGCTAGGGGCGGACGCGACGGCCAGGGGGGCAGCTAGGGGCGGGCGCGACGGCCAGGGGGGGGGGCAGCTAGGGACGGGTCACGAGGGCGGCTAGGGCCTAGGGCGGAAGCGTGGGCGGGCGAGAGGAACCTATCCTACTCATGATACCATGTCAGAAACCTAGTCACTAACCACTGGGTTAAAAGGGCTTATTAATAGCGGGTCAGTGCGCCCATAGCCCCCAAGGCTCTGCAACTGTGGCCCTTCCCCGAGGATCTCAAGGGCAACCCCAGCAGGTCACTCGAAACCCACCCCCCCCCCGGTGGGATAGGTGGAAGACACGAGCGCCTCCGCAGCGCTGGCATTGGGAGTTGAACCCAAGACCTTTGGCTCTGATACCATGTTTGAAAGAGAGAATGATGGACTAGTGTGAGAAACCTAGAACACGTACCTGTTGGGGTTGTACTTACTAGAAGCACACACCTAGGCTAGCCTATAACTTCTACATACAGCATATGTATAAGTTGACAGATGTGGCATGGCAACAAATATTTTCTTTCAATTGCACGATTGTGTTATGTAGCTGTAATGTGTTATGGAGTGGAATCGCTTACATAACCACTTACGAGTGCACCATGCGCTCGCTGTGAACCAGGGCCTCAGATTCGTTTTAGGGCACGCTGATCGCTCAGGGTCCCCCCCCCCTTGCCTCACTGTTTTTTCAGGCCTTGCAAAGAATTTTACGCTGATCAATCAGGGTGTTGTAAAAAAAATTCGCTGAAAAAACAGAGTTACCTACAAAAAACACACTGTTCAACTTAATGCCCACTATTACTATCTTTATTAAAAACAAGAGTTTACAGTTTAACATGGGCATACTAGGACCTACTTAAGCATCCTCTGCCTGCACGCTGTCGTGAACTACAGGGGTATCCTCCTCCTCCTCCTTCTCTTTCCCCTTCCTACTCTTCTGGGCTCTGCTCTGTGGGGCAGTGCTGTAGGGCTTCCTCTTCTTGTAGGCTCTCCAGATGTCAATGATGGCATCCCAGTCCGAGTCGTAGTCTAGCAGGTTCATACACATCAAGTCTCCAAGGCATGAGTCCTTCATGCTGCCCCGCAGCCAGCTCTTAATCACATTCTGACGGGAGAACCCTCGTTCACATTCCACTGTGCTCAGGGGAAGAACTGCCGTAGCGCACCACAGCTTGACAAGGTTGGGGAAGCTATCCTCCCAGTCTGGAGACTTCAGCATGGTCGTCAAGCCGGTGTAGAAACCCTTGTCACCCTTTGGCAGGGCGGCAAGGACGGGGCAGAAATGGGGGATCTCCAGCACTGCCGCTCACTTGTTGATGCCTACCAGTAGGGGAAGGGTAGGAGGGAGAACGAGGGGAGTATTAGTAAAATATCATAGAGGGGAGCACATCAACAAATTGTGCAAGCCTCGGGGTCAAGGACAAGTGAGATACCTGGAAGAATCTCTTCAGCTTCCCCTGCATGGTAGAGGTTGACCATCATCCCGAACCACTCCAGACATTGGGCCTTCCATGGAGCACGTTCCCACCCCTTCGGCCACTGGTCCGCACAGAACAGCATCGAACCACCCAGCTGCTTCAAGTCCCCCAGCCGCTCGTCCAGGTTTTGCACCATGCCTTCGGCCAGCGCCATGCACGCCACGACACAGTCGTCGTGCTTGCCCTCACCCGGGTAGCCATCCAATGGCTCCTCATGCAGGTCGAAGCTGAATCGACTCGGGCGCCCATCGGAGTCGACGCCCTCAACATTGACGCTGCGCATACCACCAAGACCGTGACGGGCGAGGAAGGCCGTGAGCAGGTCTTTCGGGCCCCCGTTGAAGTCGTCGCCGCAGTCGACGTAGCGGCTTTCGAGGAGGGACGTCACGCGAGAGACCGACGCGTGGATTGTTGACATGTCCAGCTGCGGGAAGGGGTTTGAGAATACAAGTCAGACAACAATGGTTCGTCAGTAGCGGTTTAGGAGCACCATGTAACGAAACTTACCTCGCGGGTCTGGAAAGTCTTGTTGAGAATGTTCATCTGCTCAAGAACATCAGCAAGAAACATGAGCACAAACCAAAACCTGTAGCTCGTGACAATCTTGTAAAGACGGTCGTCGGTAAACTCGGACAGCATGACGACGATGGCTGGCAAGACCTTCACCAGCCGTCGGATGGCCTCGCCGCGTGAGAGCCATCTGACTTGGTGAATACCCTGCAGCTCCAAGCACGTCGAGAGGAAGACGTCTTGGAGGTCGAGGAAGCGCTGGTGCCACGGTCCTGAGCGACCCAGGAACTCGGCCAGTTCCTTGATGACATCGTCGATGATGTTGAAGAACGGCATGTCCTCCGCCGCCGCCTTAGCTGCCAGCGTCTCTCTGCATATGGAAAAATGCACGGGGAGAAATCAAACAAACCAGCATGAGTGATAGCTAGTATTGTTGCGAATCACCATCTGTGCAAATGGGAAAAAACAAAAACTTGCCGGTGAGCGATGCAGTGACAGGAGACCAAGTGAGGGATACGCATCCGGATTCGAGTCACCAGGCCGGCTTTTGAGCCCATCATCACCGCCGCCCCGTCTGTGCTGATGCCCAAGATGCGGCGGAGATCGACACCAATTGCTTGCAGGTGGGAGAGCAGCAGAGCGAGCAGAGAAGAGGCGTCCGCCTTGTCAACGCTGAGCAGCGCCAGGTACTCGGTGACGACGTGGAGGTCCCGGATGAAAGTGCATAAGACTATCATGTGATTTCCTCTGCAACGGTCAGTGCTCTTGTCGAGGCTAAGTCCGATGAACGGGCTCTGCAGGACGTGCTCCAGCTGGGTGGTGTGCAGCCAGGTCGCAGTGGATTGCGTGAACTCCCCGAAACCGTACCTGCGTTTAATAACACAAAACAACCTCGTCATTAGTGGTTTATATGGATCGAAGGTAAGAATAAGCTTAAAATTGTAAAGCAATTTAGGCCTTACGAGTTCATGTACGTCCCGTATCCACCCTCGGGAAAGTTCTTGAACTTCCATGAGGCAAGGTGGTTGGTGATCGTGACCCATGTGTCCATGGGTTCGTTGGTCTTGCAACATGTGTACAGCAGGTCGAGAAGCGCAGTCACTCGCTCCCTCTCCAAATCCGCGGCGTGCGGGTTCTGATCGATTCACGTCTGGGTAGTAGCTTCCTGCAGCATAACGTTTTGCTTCCCGAACGCGAGGCGGTGCTTTCCGGTACCAGCGTGCCTGTTGAACGCCTGTGTTTGTGCGTCTGTGATTCCTGGCCCACGACGACCAGTCCTTCCAGAGAGCCCTGCATGCTCCACACAGATGGTACACTTAAAGGCAGGGCGCCCATCGTTAGCTTTACACAAAACGAGCCAGGGAAACTGCTCCTGCCACCTCGACTTGTAACGGGAAAGAGCCTCAGCGTAAAGCTCGGAAGGACTTAGCGACTTCCTGGAGGTTGAAGGTGTATCGTCTTCAGACGGCTCTTCATCGTCATCAGCAGGTATCGACGCTGGCGGCTCGACAGTTCCCAGATTCGGCTTCGCGAACGGTAACTTGGCCTGGCGGTAGCGACCTTGGCGCTTGGGAGTAGTCGTCGCACTAGCAGGGCGCTCGACGGCGGCTGGTGCCGACGGACCGGGTCCAAGACTCTGCTGAGGAAAAACGACTACATCGGAAACTGAATCGGCTACTTCCTTTCTTGCAGGTTCCTGTTCTCTAGGCGCAGCATCGGCTCTAATCGGGATGCGGGTGAGGCTAGACAGTGTCGAGAGGAGCAAGTCGAGCCCCGTGCATAGGTCGACACGAGGATTGCTACCGTCATCCCCTTCTGGATCACCGTCGCTAGGTGCTGCCATCACGCGATTGCAGCGGTAAGAAAATCAGTCACAACCGTGGAGGAGAAATGGAATGGCGAGGGTGGAAGCACCTGCCTTGAACGAGGCAGCAGGTGTGGCAGCACAACCTCGATTGAAGAGAACGATGAAGAGGATGGGGTCTCTTGAGGTTTCTGGAGGGCACGTGGCTCGCAACAGCCTTCTACATGCATGGATGTGGTTCACGAACCGGGTGGGTAGCGGTCTACTGCCGTGGTGGCTAAACAACAGTGTAACATTGTACCTGGTCTATTGGCTGCTGTGGCTGAAATTTGGCGATGAGCCAATCCAAACCCTGCAGCCACGCTCTGCTGGAGACAGCAGTGGCTACTTTCGAACAGCCAATGAGACCCCGCCGAGCACTATGTGCTGGAGGAAAATTGACGGAATATTCTCCAGCGGGGCTGGAATCTGGTTGGTCACACTCGAGTTGGCGTCATTGACGGGGACGGTGGGGGGGGATTCACGGAAATCACGGGGTGGGGGAGTTGGGGCTGGGAATCCGCTATTAGAAGAATCAGGGTCGGGCTCCGATACGACGCTGGAAAAACAGGCCACACTACACTACGCACGCTGATCGATCAGAGTTCACTCTTAAAAAAACCCTGAAATTTCAGGCCTTTGTCTTAAAAAAAACCTGTCTCATCAGGGTCACCCCCCAAAAAAGCCCTGATTTTACCCTGAATCAGGGTAAAAAGCCTGCAATCTGAGGCCCTGCTGTGAACCATGCTGTGGTACAACTTACTGGTATGTAAGGACAAGTTGATTAATCAGAATGAAGTGCACACATATATGTAGGTAGATTTATCCCCCCTCTCGCCCCCTCCTCTGTTCTTTATTCTACAAGATTCTTGAATCTTGACCAAGGAGGAGTCAATGTTTCTAGGAACCATAAGCCCACAGTACAGTACGCAGTTGACGCTGTACGTTAGGATAGCATTTGTAACAAAGAAAAGCATCTAGGCAACGCGGGCACGAGTCATGACGATCCATACCACATCACAGAAAGCTAGCTGCTTGATTAGCTGGCTCAGTGGCCATTACTTTGTTGAACTCTTGTTACACTCCCATTCACCGCACCACCATAGCCAGCGTTTGCAGATTGAGGTTGGAACCCACCACAGCCTGCACTCGGCCGCTGCACATAGACTCGCCCCGGTATATCCCCCTTGCATGTGCGCCTCCCTGGTAGCAACCACGCCACCCCATCACCCTTCCCATCATGCGGTGACGAGGTGACTCATAACTCACTCTGACTCGCCCCGGTATATCCCCCTTGCATGTGCGCCTCCCTGGTGCCAACCCCACCATCCCCCATCGCCCCTCCCACCATGCTCCCCTGCGCCTGCCCTTGCCCAAAGCCTCCCTGCTGCTGCATCTGCTGCATTTCCCCCACTGAGCCTTGCCCTGGCCCCTCCAGCCCACCAGAGCCTTGAACCATTGACTCACCACCCATGGCAGCACCAGGGGTGGGTGGAGGGGCAGCAGCAGTAGATGTGGGTTGTAGTGGGGTAAAAGCAGGGTTTACCTGCATGGTGTTGGGGTATCCCTGAAGGGAACCCCCCTGCTGTTGTTGCTGCATTGCTGCTGCAACTGGCATTGGCTGCATCTGCTGCTGCTGCTGGTAATGTTGTTGTTGCTGCTGCTGCTGTTGCTGCTGCTGCTGTTGCTGTTGCTGCTGCTGGTACTGGTATTGGTGTTGCTGCTGCTGTGGCTGCTGCTGGTACTGGTGGTGCTGCTGCTGGTAATGCTGCTGCTGCTGCTGCAGTGGCATCTGTTGCTGCTGAGGCTGCATTGGGTTTTGCATGCCATATGATGCCGAACCCTGATGCTGCTGATACTGTTGCTGTTGCTGTGGCTGGTTCTGCAGTTGATGCTGCTGCTGGTACTGTTGCTGCTGCTGCACCTGCTGCTGCTGCGACTCAGAGCCCTGCATCTGCCCCTGCATGGGCACCCCTTGGCCTGCACCCCCTGCTTGGCTTGAACCACCAGCACCCATCATCCCTCCGCCCCCTACATGCATCTGAGCCGGCGGCCCGCCCATTCGCTGCATCCCCTGCTGCACCTGCTGCGGCTGTGGCTGCTGCACTGCCGGTGGCCCCAGTGCCTGAAACTGCGGCATGTGTGTCGGCACTTGCGCTGGGACCTGTGCTGCCATGTCTCCCTGCTGGTATTGCTGTGCCGGGTACGACAGACGGCTGCCAGGCTGGGGGAGCTGAGCACCCCCGGTTGCTGCACCAGTGCTTGTGCCCCCGGCCTCACTCTGCGCCTGCCCACCCAGCGCCCCACTCACCCCGACCTGCTGCTGCGCCTGTGGGTCAGCCAGAGTGGCTGCCAGCACACCGTCCTGTGGTGTCTGCTGCTGTGGCTGCTGCTGGTGGGACTGTGGCTGCTGCTGCTGGGATTGCTGCTGGTGGGACTGTGGCTGCTGCTGCTGCACAGGTGGGGACACAGACTGTTGCCGGGGCTGCTGAGACTGCTGTGATTGCGAAAAGGGTTGTTGTGGCTTCTGGAGTTGTGAAAGGGGTTGCTGGAGAGGGGTTTGTGGCTGTGGCTGTGTGCGTGGTGGAGGAGTCGGCGTGGACGCAGGGGGAGAAGCCAGAGGAGGCACAGCAGCGGCGGGAGGAAGGGGGGAGGGCGGGAAGACATCGGAGAGGGGAGGGGAGCAGAGGCCCATGGCACGGAGCACGTAGCTGTCGTCGTGCAGCTCAAAAGGGGTACTGGGAGAGGGGAGAGGGGAGAAGGGGAAGAGAACAGCACACAGAGCAGTGAGGGAGAGCATGGGGCGAGGCACAATGATGAGTCGTGGCGATGGTGGCGATGTGTTTTGTTTTTGAGAATTCTCAAAAACAGAGCTCCTCCATGGTTCGCCGCACGTAGCGGTCGTCATGTTGATGATTGGTGGGGATGATGGCGAGCACAGCGCTCCATAGCTCGCAGCACCTAGTTGTCGTCGCGCAACTCGACAGGCATGCTGGGAGAGGGAGGAGCGGGGGCAGAGAAGAGAGGAGAGAGGAGAGAGCACAGAGCACAGTGGAGTGGCGTAGGAACGTTGATGACTGGTGGGGAAACGGGAGGGGTGCCGAGCCCCATGGTTCGCAGCATGTGACTGTTGTCGGGCAGCTCAAAGGGTGTGGTGGCAGGGGTAGGAGAGGAGCAGGCGAAAAAAATTCCACACACACAGAACACAGAGGGAGAGGGTGGGATGGAGCGGACGACATGATCAGTGGTGGGGTGTTGAGCCCCATGGCTCACGAGACGCAGTTGTTGTGGTGCAGGTCAAAGGGCGTGCTGGGCGACAAAGAGAGGGGGCAGAGAACAGAGGGAGAGCACAGACGAAAACAGTGGCGGGCCAGGGAAGGACAATGCACAAAGAGGCTTGCAGAGGCCCAAGGCTTGCAGAGGCCCATGGCTCGCAGCACATGAGAGGCTTGCAAAGGCCCATGGCTCGCAGCACATGAGAGGCTTGCAGAGGCCCATGGCTCGCAGCACATGAGAGGCTTGCAGAGGCCCATGGCTCGCAGCATATGAGAGGCTTGCAGAGGCCCATGGCTCGCAGCACATGAGAGGCTTGCAGAGGCCCATGGCTCGCAGCACATGAGAGGCTTGCAGAGGCCCATGGCTCGCAGCACATGAGAGGCTTGCAGAGGCCCATGGCTCGCAGCACGTAGCTATTGTCTTGGAGACCAAAGGGCGTACTGGGAGCAGTGAGAGGACGGAAGAGAGTGGGGAGAGGAGAGAGCAGAGAGCAGAGAGGGAGAGGGCAGGGCGGCAGAGATTGGTGTGGTGATGAGTGGTTCGAGCCAGTGTGAGATGGGTTGAAAGATTTGCAAGTGGGAAGGGAGAATATGCAAGACAACGCAAGAATGTGAAAAAGGCATGAGAGAATGCAAGAATGTGAGCGGGAGAAGGAAGGCGTGTGAGAGACGACATGGTAGGCCTGGGGATAAATGCGCAGCACGGCTGGACCGCATGGGAGAAGAGCTGGATGGAATTCAAGGTGGAACCTATCTAAGATAGAATCTACGAGCGCACGAGCTGGAACCTATCTAAGATAGAATCTACGAGCGCACGTGCTGAAGTCGAAGTGCACGAGCTGCATGTCCTCCGATATCTCCACCTCCACTGTTGCCTGTGGGCGGGTCTGCTCAGCAAGAGAGAGAGGAGGAAAGGGAGATGGGGAAAGGGAATTAGGGAGAGGGAGATAGGGGAGGGAGATGGGGGAGTGGACACGAGCTGAATGTCCTCCGATATCTCCACCTCCACTGTTGCCTGCAGGGGGGTCTGCTCAGGAAAGCACATGTGGCTGACAAGATTTTGCAGGGTGTTTTTGCAGGGTGTTTTTGAGAATTCTCAAAAACAGTTGCCTGCGGGAGGGTCTGCTCAGGAAAGCACATGTGGCTGACAAGAATGATGGGTTAGTAATGATGTTCTTGACACTTGCTGTGGCAAGTATAGGTAGTGCCCCTGCAGCATCCATCCACCACTCCACTTACTTTCGCCCATCGTCAACTTGGTCACACCGCACCTTCCACACCAAAACAAATAGCTCAGGGCAACAATGAATTTATTGAACATACAGGTCCCTGGAGAAACAATATACTTTTACCGAGGATGAACAATACCCGCACGAGGATGAATAGTACCCCCACAAGGATGAACAGTGCCTGCACAAGGATGAACCGTACCCACACGCGGATGAACAGTACCCGCACAAGGATGAACAGTACCTGCACGAGAATAAAGGGCAGCGCTACTCCGCCGCCCGGAGGTGGTCCTCCCTGCTGGCTGCTGGCCTCGTTGCGCCGCATGAGACGCTCGATGCCAGCCATCTGACACGTGGGTCACGGATGCAAGGACAAAGAGGCTTTAACAGGAAAAACAATTTGCAGGGGGGGGCAAGGACGGTGCTGAGGAGAACAACAAGGTGTAGATGGAAACAACGAAGGTGCAGAGGTGGTGGGAATGGAGCGGCAAGAGGGAGAGGGAGAGGGAGAGAGGAGGAGAGAGGAGGAGAGGGAAGGAGGTGGGGGAGAGACCTGCTCCTTCAACTCCTCCAGGTGAGCTGCCTTCTTCTCCACCCGACTGCGCACCCGCGATGATTCCGCCTGAAACCATGCACACATGCACGCACACATGCACGTACGTGCAAAGAGACATGTCGACCGAACAGCACGTCACATGAACGGTTGAAGTGAAACCACTCGAAGGTGCACTAAACAACATTACAATGCGCTTTTACACTTGCAGAGTACATCACATAACCAGGTTTATCATATCTGTGAGAATAGATACGCACTTAATAACCAAGGCAGCCAACGAAGCAGCGACATAAGCACCAAGCGAATCAGCTAGAGGCAGATGCCGTACCATGAGGAGCTGGTGCGAGGCGGAGGAGGGCGGGAGGCCCTTCCACTTGATCTCCTTCTTCTCCTTGGAGATGATGTCCATCGCCATCAGCACGTTCAGCGCGTCGTACACGCGCCGCCGAATGTTCTTCTCGTCGTACTGCTGCCCAGGGGGGGGGGTTTGGGAGGAGGACAACGGAGGGAATGGAGGGAGAATGGAGGGGGAATGGAGGGGGAATGGAGGGAGAATGGAGGGGGAATGGAGGGGGGGTTGGTGGGAGGGAGGGGGGAATGGTGGGAGGGAGGGGGGAAAGGAGGGATGATCAGCAAGAATGAGAGGCAGAGGATGAGGTCAGGCCGTCATGCTGTCATGAGAGGTGAGGTGTGAGTCATGCTGTCATGAGAGGCGAGGTGTGAGTCATGCTGTCATGAGAGGTGAGGTGTGAGTCATGCTGTCATGAGAGGTGAGGTGTGAGTCATGCTGTCATGAGAGGTGAGGTGTGAGTCATGCTGTCATGAGAGGTGAGGTGTGAGTCATGCTGTCATGAGAGGTGAGGTGTGAGTACGCACTGCGCATGGCCGGGCCATGTGGAACATGCACAGGGCACACAACCCCATGGCTCTTAAAGCCCCACTCTCATAATTCTAGGAAGTGAGCAAGTGTTAAATGTTTGGTACCCAGTTATGCTGGCGAATTTGAAGCGACAGGCTTGGAAATGCCTCGGACAGTGTGCTGTGCTAGGGGGGGGATACCAACCGTAAAACCAGTTCAGCAATATGAGAATCCGCAAGTTTACGGAAGAACGGTCCTGCTGCACCGTTAGATCATCGAGAGCCTTTGATCTGACGGTTGAGTGACTGGGCGTTTGAATCGACGGCTATAAACGAAGTGGAAAGTTGTTGCGCAAAAAAATGGAGTTTGCACCGTCCGATGTGCTAAACCTGACGCGTCCCAAACTTCCCCAAACCTGTTTCTTGGTTTGGAGTTTTTTGTCGAAATTCAACGGCCTCGCCACGTGAGTTTCGTTTTCGTAGTTTTGTTTACACCTCGCGTACCAATCAGTGCCTGTCTGTCTCAATCAAGTGTTAAACTCTGGTAATTATGAGTTGGGGGCTTTAAGTGCCTAGTCTTGCAGCAGGCCTTGAGTTGAGACTAGAGGCAGGGGTAAGAGAGTACCTGGTCTTGTGGCAGGCTGGCAGTCCCTTGCAGCCCTGTGAACTCTGCCACCAGCTCGTCCGCCACCTGCAGGCATGCACAGGTGTGTGCATTGGATGCAAACGGATAGATGTGTGCACGGGGCATGTGGATGTTGGGACACATCGGTTCATGCATGGCTGGCTGAGCCCCTTGCAGCCCTGTGAACTCCGCACCTGCATCCTCGGCCGCCACCTTCAGGCACGGAAACCATTGGTTCATGCATCTCCGCGAATGGAGAGATGAGTGCATGGGATGGGGCATGTGGATGTTGGGACTCGTCAGTTCATGCATCTCTTGCTTCTCTGCATGTCCCTTGCAGCCCTTTTAGCTTCGCTATGAGCTCATCCGCCACATGCAAGCAGGCACAGGTGCGCTACGTGCGCATTTGATTCACAGGGGAGGCAGAAGAAAGGAGAGCGGAAGAGCGGATAGAGGAAGTGCGGAGAGCGGAAAGAAGCAACGTGGGAGACAGAGTGAGGGAGAGGCAAAGGGAGCAGACCTCGTTGTATGTGGTGCGGCCTTTGGACTCCACCTTCTCACACACTGCCATGCGACACACAGGGAGAAATGACACACATTAAGCTCACGAGTCTATCCCTTTTGCCCGATTCCCTCTCACCTTGCATGCTGAAGTGCCTCAAGCCCTTCCTTCTATCTGCTTACTCTTACCCTCTTACCCTCCCATCCTCTCACCCTCTCCCCTCTCACCTTGCATGCTGAAGTGCCTCAAGCCCTTCCTTCTATCTGCTTACTCTTACCCTCTTACCCTCCCATCCTCTCACCCTCTCCCCTCTCACCTTGCATGCTGAAGTGCCTCAAGCCCTTCCTTCTATCTGCTTACTCTTACCCTCTTACCCTCCCATCCTCTCACCCTCTCCCCTCTCACCTTGCATGCTGAAGTGCCTCAAGCCCTTCCTTCTATCTGCTTACTCTTACCCTCTTACCCTCCCATCCTCTCACCCTCTCCCCTCTCACCTTGCATGCTGAAGTGCCTCAAGCCCTTCCTTCTATCTGCTTACTCTTACCCTCTTACCCTCCCATCCTCTCACCCTCTCCCCTCTCACCTTGCATGCTGAAGTGCCTCAAGCCCTTCCTTCTATCTGCTTACTCTTACCCTCTTACCCTCCCATCCTCTCACCCTCTCCCCTCTCACCTTGCATGCTGAAGTGCCTCAAGCCCTTCCTTCTATCTGCTTACTCTTACCCTCTTACCCTCCCATCCTCTCACCCTCTCCCCTCTCACCTTGCATGCTGAAGTGCCTCAAGCCCTTCCTTCTATCTGCTTACTCTTACCCTCTTACCCTCCCATCCTCTCACCCTCTCCCCTCTCACCTTGCATGCTGAAGTGCCTCAAGCCCTTCCTTCTATCTGCTTACTCTTACCCTCTTACCCTCCCATCCTCTCACCCTCTCCCCTCTCACCTTGCATGCTGAAGTGCCTCAAGCCCTTCCTTCTATCTGCTTACTCTTACCCTCTTACCCTCCCATCCTCTCACCCTCTCCCCTCTCACCTTTCATGCTGAAGTGCCTCAAGCCCTTCCCTCTATCTGCTGCCCGTGGCAGACGCCGCTTGCGCTTGCTGCACCCACAGCAGCAGCAGGCACGGTAGGCACAGAGGAGTGGTGGGAATCCAGAAAGGCGAGGATAAGCACAGCTTGCACAACTGGAGGAGCAGGCATGATCAAACAGCAGGAAAGCTCGTCATCCCACGCCACGCGTCACCGAGGTCCATGTAGTTAGGCACAGCCCCACTGGCACACTGTGGGCTTACATCACATGCACATGCATGGGTTGTGTAGCAAGTGTGTCAGGAGACGCAAAACACGAAAGCACGGCCTCTCACGTGACACTGGGGTCCATGGAGTCAGCAGCAGCCCATGCGCTCACAGCGGGCTCACATGCCATATCTCTTCAGCGAGTGTGGCAGTATAAGCACAACAAGCTGTGCTGGGTTTTTGAGAATTCTGAAAAAACCTATCACAGCACTGCTAGCTCGTCATCTCACGCTTCATCGTCCAAGGCGTCAGCCAAAGCCCCATCCGCCCACAAAGGGCTCACATGCTCTATCTCCTTAGCGGGCGTGGCAGGATACGCACAAGGAGAAAGCACAGCACAACACAGCTCATCATCTCACGCGTCATTGTCCAAGGAGTCAGCCGCAGCAGGGTAAGCACTATCACTATCTAGTCACCAAGCGTGGCAACAAGCAAGTAAGCATGGCAGCAGGCAAGCAAGCATGGCAACAGGCAAAGCAAGCATGGCAAGCACGGCAAGAACGGCAAGCACGGCATCTCACGCGTCATTGTCCAAGGAGTCAGCTGCCGCCCCATCCGCCCCAAACTCGTCCCCTGGCAGAAACCCCATCCCCATGCCCAGCCCGGACGCCCCACTCGCCGCCCCACCTGCTGCAGCCACCCCACCAGCCATCCCTCCACCTATCGCCCCCCCTGGCCCACCACCTCCCGCTCCCCCAGCAGCAGCAGCGGCGGCGGTGGTTCCGAGGCGGCCGCGGTCAGTGGAGTCGTGACTGCCGCTGTCCACTGAGGGGGCTGCTACGCCCCCTGCCACCCTGCCTGCCCCTGCCATGGTTCCTGCCCCCCCTCCCGCCATAGAGGGCCCTGCCCACCCGCCTGCTGCACCCGATGCTGCCTGCTGCCCCTGCTGCTGCTGGAGGGCAGGTTTGGTGGGCGGTGAGACTGGGGAGGGTGGGTGGGGGGGAGGGGGTGGGTGGGGGGGAGCAGTTGACACCGAGCCATTTCCTCCGAAGTAAGACCATGCAGCTCATCTCGCCACGCCCTCCCATTTGCCACTCAGCTGCAAACGGCCTTGCCACGCCTTTCAGCATAACCTCATCACCCGCCCACCCACCCTCTCCTGGCGATGGCTTCGGCCCCTTCGCGGGGCGGAAGCGGAGGCGGTGGCGGAGGCGGAGGCGGAGGTGATCCCAAGGTCGTGTGCGAAAGCCCTTACAGCCTCACCTCACCTCGCCTCTTCTCACCCTCACCTGGCGACGGTTTCAGCCCCTGCGCATGCGCGGCAGCGGCGGAGGCGGCGCGGATGATCCCTAGGTCGTCCGCTTAGCTGAGCCTCATTTCGCGCCTCTCCCCGCCCTCCCCTTTCCGCTTCACCTCGCCTCTCCCCGCGCTCACCTGGCGACGGCTTCGCCCCTTCCGCGTGCGCGGAGGCGGGGATGATCCCCAGGTCGTGCGCCAAGTCCAGCACGCCAGTCTCCGCGAAGTCCGACAGTAGCGCGTGCGGCACGCTCAGCGCCCCCTGGGGGGATCCCTGCGGAAGGGATTGCGCGTGCGCTTGTTGCGCTTGTTGCACTTGTTGCGCTTGTTGCGCTTGTTGCACTTGTTGCGCTTGTGGGGCCTCTCTCTGCGCGCCGGAAGAGTCGGGTGCGGCAGACGCGGCGGCACTCGGCCCACGAACGTCTGTAGCGGACGTGCCGCCGCCGGCAACCCTTGTCGCGCGGGCATCGGCTGTAGCAGCGGACGGCACAGCGCCGGTCGCCGCATGATCATCGGCAGCGGAAGGAGCAGACGGGGCGTCGCTCCGCGCGCCGCCTGCTGCCTCCAGCTCTGAAGTTGCCGGCTTCACCTCGCCGCCGCCTCCCTCGGGTACGGCGGGCGACATCTGTTGCTGCTGCGGCTTTAAATCCATGGTGCGCTGCGGGACGGCAACGCCGCAAGCTGCGAACTTCGGTTCTAAATCGCTAACGCCGCAAGCAGGGGAACGCGATCAACGCTAAAGCGTCCAAGTGACACGTGGATCCGACGCACGGGATCGATGGGCGACCTACGGCTGCAACTCGATAAGTAAAGAGTTAATGTACTCGTTGAGCGGTGCAAACTGAACGAGGCTCATATGACGGTTCTGAAGTCTAGGAGAATATGGCGGGTCGCAAGAGGATCTAGGCTGGGGCGAGGGAATGGCAAGTGATACAAGGGTTTTTAGTTGTTCGGTTACTGTTACTTGCGATCCACGCACAGTAGTTACGTTTATCGTACAGAGAGGTGGATTTTGTCGCTTTCTGAGCAGCGAGGGGAGATTTAGCATTCATTTAGGTTATTTGTTTTCTCATTGGTTCGCGTTTCACAATTTCATTGGTTGCACACTGTACCTCAGCATTTCGCTGCTCTCAGCAACTGTTCCCGAAAATCTCCGTCAACTACAGCGCACGTCGCTGAACGAACCTGGAAACAGAGTGGGCCCCGGGTACCGTCAATTTCTGACGGCAAAATTTACAGCGAACTTATTTTTCAGACGGATAAAACACGACGACTATACTCAATATGGGATTGCGGATTAGTGCGACGGGATTGTTCACTTACATTTCATTCCGAAATTATAAAATAATATCGTTTATACAATTACATTTTGAGCTCATAATTTTTTTTACCATGGAATTCCATGATATTCATCAATGACATGAATATTTCAATAATTTTTTTCCAATTCTTGGCTGAATATTTTCAAGAGGGGTTCGCATATTAATGTTGGCTCGGACGTCTAGTATGGTCCTTTTGTAAAGAATGTTGTAATGCAAAGTCCTTTCGAAAATATTCGGCCACGTGTTGAAAAATTGATTGAAAGATCTACATTGTTTACGAAGATCCTGGAATTCCATGGCAAAAAAATCACGAGTTGAAAATAGTACAAAAATATTTATTACATAATATCGAAATGAAATGTAAATGAACAATCCCGTCGCACTAATCCGCAATCCCATTTGAGTATTGTCGTCATGTTTTATCCGTCTGAAAATAATTTTGCCGTCAGAAATTGACGGTACCCGAGGCTCACTCTGTTTCCAGGTTCGTTCAGCGACGTGCACTGTTAGTTGACGGAGGTTTTTGGGAACAGTTGCAGAGAACAGCGAAATGCTGAGGTACAGTGTGCAACCAATGAAATTGTGAAACGCGAACCAATGAGAGAAAAGCTAACCTAAATGAATGCTAAACCTCCCCTCGCTGCTCAGAAAGAAATAAAATCCTCCTCGCGTTAAACGTGACACCTGTGCGTGGATCGCAAGTAACAGTAACCGAAAAACTAAAAACTCGTGATACAAGGTGGAGTAGCAGTATCGCCTGGACTTCTAGTTTCAGCACTGGTCACAAGGAATCGCCCGGAAATTGTGATGTCGCACAAACCGCATCACAATTTCCTACTCGTCAACCTGTCCCATCCCATCCCATTTCGACTACACATGACGTCCAGTGAACCGCCCATTCGTCAGAGGCCCCCATGCACTCGTCAGTCCGACTGGCACGGATTTACAGGGAACGGCCCGTCATGGACTGGCCCAATTTTGGGCGGCTCAACCACTTGCGACACTGCTGGGAGCGAACATGCAGAAGGAACAATTGTAGGTTGACTCGGAACCAGGGTGCGATTGTGCGACAGTTGCCGGGGTACACGGGAGAAACAACGAATGTCTTACATGTTCCAAGGGTCCTGCCAAACGGGTAACCATGGTCCTACCTTCAGGCCCAATTTGCCAGCGATTTGAAGGCGTCCGTTACTGGAGTAACCGGCTGAAAAAAACTTAGGCCTCTTTCAGACCTCCAGTGTACAGTAGCTGTCAACGCCTGAATGCTTTTTGGGACTCTCGCTGGCGTCGAATCTGACAGCCAAATCCACCAATCGTCGAATCAGACATCCCTAGTACGCGTTCTTAGCTAGTTGACTACAATACTTGTTTTGTTCCACTCTCAATGTCTGAACTTTCGTCAGTATGAGTCACTTGCGCCTTTGTCAACCAAAACAATTAAACTGAGCGAAATATGGGGCACTGTTATGATAAGGAATCGTCATATGCATTCCTGAAAGTAACACTTGGTTGTTACATCCTCTGATGCGTGATAACCCCTATTGGGTACACACATGTGTCGAGTTGAGAAGGGCAACGGTCGTTAACTGCTGACCGGCAACTCAATTTTCAGAAGTCCAAGAGTCTGAGACGACAGCAAGGACACATAACTGCCCCCTGACATTGTTGTTAGACTCTCTGCATTCTCTTGTATCACTATATAAACAATGTATCTCTTGTTTTAAATCATCTTGCCATGTTACATTCACTCTGACGAGCTCGTTCCTTCAAAACGCGTGCTGCTCCGGCACGAGACTCCTGGCTGTACCTGCCGAACCTATACTAGCCGAAGGACTCCTTGTCATCGAGTTGACTTTTCGGGCAGCTAATAGAAAATAAAATGGCCACGGAGAAAAGGCGACAACATCAATCGATGTCGAAGCATTTGCGACCAAATTACCAAGCTCGGAAACTGCATGACCGAAAATATATTTGTGGCAATAGTCCTCGCTAGACTCACCTTTGAATGGCGCCCCAGCAAGGCACTGCTCCGCCAACAGGGAGAATTTTCTGAAACTACATTATGCGTGACACTACTAGTTGAACAGCATGACATTGACCTCTACAATGAAAGAGCTACGCGCAGGGAACAACCCGCCTTTACTCACTTTGCTGCGACCAGCGCAGTCGCCGTTACTTTTGCAAATACTGCAAAACATTCTGACACTCCACCCAACATTGTAGCAAACGAACAGGGAACTGTTAAATTATACCTATATGTTTTATAATTGTAGGCTTGGTAGGCATTACTGAAACTTACTGTAGAGGGTACAACACCCCTCCTTGTATCCCTCTCTTCTATTCTCGATCACTTTTCTCTCGTAACTTTCTCTCCTACCTAAACCCTCACGCCATTTCATGGCTTCCTAGCTACCTAGCTCTCGTGACAGGAACATCATTTGGCCAGCCTATGTCCCTCCCCCTAACGGTGGGCAATGGGCGACTGTGAGAGTACGACCTCGTTACACCAGTTTCCCCTTTCCATATTTCCTTACAATTTCATCCCTATTTTTATCCTGATTCCAATGCTCTTTCTCTCATCTCATTTGTTTCATATTCATCATTATCCATTATTATTTGCCTTATCATATTACACTATGATGATTATACCATCAACAAGGCTTGGGGAGTACTGGCCAACGGTAATGATCACAATCCAGTCGGAATCACTTAAAGCCAATAGCCCCGCGTGGCTATACGCAGCACGATTCTATTTCTAGAAGGGTTTTTTTTTCCTTTGGATAAGATATACCTAGTTTTCTTTTTTAGAGGAAGCATTGTACTATTAAGGGACACAGTACAGAAGGAGATCCATATTCGTAACTAAATCACCTTGCAGTGTGGACATCTTACTTCATCACCCAGAGACTTTAGCCGCTCCCGTACCTGCAGATGCAAGCTATGAGCTCAAATTAGAACATCTCTAACACGTAGAGGCATGGCCTTTGAGTCCCTGATTTTATTCACACTACTCCAATCAATCGCTGACCCCCTCATGCTCTCCCATTTTTCCTGTTGATAGGTTTTCACCATTACGGTTTCCACCCCCTTCCTCAACTCCTTCAGTTTTGCAACAGCATCTCCGTCTCTCAAACAAGTCGCCAGCAACCTCGCCTTTGGCGCGCCCAATACCCCATGCACCATCTTCCTCCTTCATCGGTGTGATTTTTGCCACCTCTAGGAGTGATTCCCATGGGTCTTCCTTCGTGACCGGCTTTTGATGCTTATCCACTTCCATTTTGCTACAGCGAAGCTTTCCGTCGGCCACCTCCTCTATCACCCAAAACCATGTTGTGCCCTGTGGATAGCCCGCCGTGTGCGCCAGCCTAGTCTCCTCAGCCACCTCTTCCGCTGTCAAGGTCCAGAGTACCCTCTGTTTCCACTCCGATGGAAAGGCTTCATAGGGTTTCAACGCCATCCTTGCCAGGCCTCCACTCCCCAATTCCTCTGCCATAGTCTGAAGGTGTTTTAGTTGCCTTATTCCATCCGTTCGTTTAACCGCTAAATCCGCCACCGTCATACCTTGCAATTTCTCCGTCCTTTCCTAATTCCCAAACGGCGCACTCCCGTCAAAGAGGTTTCTCCTATTGAAAGTTAGGTGTTCCTGCTTTATCTCCCACATCAACTTTGCTTCCTTGACTTGTAGCATTTCTGAGGTGAGACACACAGATGTAGTCTGCTTCCACCTTTCACTCCTCTGTCCCCATTTCTTGAGCAGGGCTGGATGAGCATACAAGGACGCCCATCCCAACGGAAGACTTGTTGCCCTCTACGTCAACTCCCTTTAAATCGGGCACTCCTGCAGCAACGACACCCCCACACTCCTTAGCGCTAGGATGTCTACTCTTCCTCGTGGGTCAACCACCCCCAGACCTCCATGCTGCCTACTCCATATGGTAAATTGATGCTCCTTGTCCGCCTTATTCCCCAATAAAAAAAATTGGCATAACTTCTCAACCCTCTTTTAGATTACTTCTGGTGGCGGATAAACCTAGTTACCTGATGGAAGCACCTTGTACTGATGGATAGTGCAACATTGAGCAAACCTCATTCGATCCTATCACAACGAGCTCCTATAAGAGGAGACCCATGTATCCCCCACAACATGATCCGCACGAGATCAGTCGCCCGTCCCACATGGACCAGCTAGGGTAAATTGATGCTCCTTGTCCGCCTTATTCCCCAATACAGAATTTTGGCACAACTTCTCAACCCTCCTCCATATTACTTCAGGCAGCGGATAAACCTAGTTACCTGATATAAGCACCCTGTATTGATCGATAGTGCAACATTGAGCAAACCTCATTCGATCCTATCACAATGAGCTCCTATCAGATGAGACCCATGGATCCCCCATGACATGATCCGCGCGAGATCAGTCGCCCGTCCCATATGAACCAACGACCGATCCTGCATGTTCCTACCTTGGCAAAGCCTCATGCAGCCCAGGCTAGCACCAACGGCCCAGGAATCCATCGCCAAGCTTTCACGGTGATAAGGACCCTGGCACTAACGCAAAGACCAAACCATCGCCCGCGCGTGCTCCCATCACCTCTTCGTG